AAAAAAAAACAACATTCTTTAATTGTTACAAATTTGCTTATTTGATCAAAGCATGCACATTGTATGGCCACATTAAATTTTTTAAATAAAATTCTGGACAAATAATATAATGAAAAGTATATGTTGGTAATCTAATAATAGATAAATGAATCAATTATGTTATAAATCACTTTTGGTGTCAAAACCTGTCTTCAGCTTTACAATCAATTTTATTTTATTTCTCAGAGTTCAGCTATCCGCACAGTGATCAGTACCCATGGATTATGGGGAATGAGTAACTTGATGAAGCCTGTCTCAGCTCATTTCAGTGTCAGTAAGAAGCACCATTTAATGTCAGTACTGACCATGTTTGGACCCAGTCCAGACTGGTGTGTAGGTAAGGCTGTGAATGGTTTACAATTAAGAAACATACACCAAATTGTCTAGTAAATTTGTTTTCATTTTATGAAGTGGGATATTGATTGCTTTCCTCTTTGTTGACAACTGAAACCTGATAGCTGGCTAGATAGAGCCTGGCTTGCCAATTATGGGTTGTATGGAGTTGTGTCCTTAGTTACATTATAGAAAATTCTTGCTTTTATTCTCAGTTATGGTTGGAATCCTGAGGGATGTGTTAAAGGAGGTCATCGGTAACGTTGGATCTATATTATGAACAAGGGTTCATCCTTAATAACACATTTGTATCCAGGGATTGAAGCTCCCATAGTCATATGATTTTGTAATCAGTTGTGGATAAAAGTAATCCAGTCAACCATACTGTAATCTGCTTGAGCAGAATTATACACTATGAACCATTATGTGGATTTGTTCACACAAAATCTGTCTCACATGATTGATTATTACTGGCCTCTATGGAATGTGTAAGTCTACAGAATGTCATGTTATGTAATTTTCTCCAGTATCAAGTTCTTTACAAATGAAAAGAGAGAGAGAGAGAGAGAGAGAGAGAGAGAGAGAGCTATTTCACTCATTTGCAGCCTGGAGCTGTAGATATATGGCAGTAGTAGACATGCAACCATGAATAATTGAAGCTTTCAGTTATTCCTGTCTAAAGATGAGCAGTGTTTCATTCAGAAATTTTATATCATACTTAAGACTCTTGAATAATCAAAATCTTCAGTCAAATTGAATAGAGGTTAGGTAAAATAGATGACTTTCTTTTTCGTAGCCAAACTTCTTATTCAGTCAATAGTGAATTTAATATATGCTATTTATCTTGACCCCCAAAAATGTTTAGAAAAAAGTTTTTATTGATGTGTCATGAAAGTGTATTTTAAGTGCAGGATCATATCTGCTTACATTTTCTGTTCACATTGATGATTTTATAAGTGCTTGTTATTATTGACAATGTACTGGTAGGTTTTGATACCATCCTTTGATGCCATAAATCCTGGATGTCTGTCTATAACAAATGAAACCCCCTGTCTTGAATCCACTATTTCAGGTGTTCCCAGTCTGAGTTTGTGCCTCCCTAACTGTACCTGGGCAGGGGACCAGACCATTGACTTGTATCCATGGGATGCAGGCACTGACAGCGGGATCACCTATGCTGTAAGTAATGGAAGCTGAGGCATGAGCTGGATGTTTTCGTGATAGCACTGCTCCCTTATTTTTCGTATGTCACTGTACAATGATGTAAGAGAAGTCGGACTTTTAAAACATTTGAATGGCATTCTGCTGAATTTGGTTATGTGAATAACATATCAGAAGTACTGTTACAATATTGCTTTCTTGACTGCATAGTGGTCTAAGAAAAAACATTAAAGAGCGTGAAAGACTTTTATTTGGCAATTTGAAAAAAATTTAAAGTACACAAAAATATTTAAATACAGGTATGTAGATGTAAAAGTATAATATTTTCACTGTGGCATTATGCACTACACAACCTGTTTCAGTCTCCCAACATGAAGACTCATCCTCAAGAGAAGATCCATAGACTGACCAACACCTACCCAGACAACATCAAGTCTCCTTTCTATGGCCTGTATCCCATCAAACCTCTGGCACAGTTACACATCAAACGCCTCACCCCAGCAGCTGCCCCGGGACAGTGCACCAGTGATGAGGGTGGTATGTAACTGTGATTCTCACACTTCATCATTTTGTCCTTTCTGATACAACATAACTTTTATATATCCTCCATCCTGAATAACAGGGACAGATCCAGAGATACTTTCTGACGGTCTTCCAAATTATATTTGTTAATGCATCCTACATTTTTGACCATCTCCCAACAGAAAAAATTAGATGCCTGTCTATGTAAACTTAAAAATCGTTTAAATTCGGAGAGACTTCCGAAAGACCCAGAAGACAGCTTCCATCTGCCCCGGAAGAATACAAGATATCATTTAGATAAATGGCAAACATGACTGATACTTGGCCAATAAAGGCTGCTTTAATGTATGTCAACACAAGGTGAATTTTACCTTGACAAGGTAATCAAAACAGTAATTCAAGTGATAAGAATACTAAATTATACCACTGATCAAGATTTTGTGGAAACATGGTACATAAAAACAACATATTTTAGGCCGGGTTACACATTACTTATCTTATTACTATATTACATCTAAATTATAGAGAATAAAACTTTGAGATCTTTGAGACTGTTAACTTACTGCCTTGTAGGCATGCCCCCAAACACTCACCACATTAAAGCTTAAAGTTGGAAAAGTTAAATCACTGATCGTAAATTTATGTTATACCAGAAAGCACATTTTTGACACAGCTTTCACATTCATCTGGATAGTATTAGCAATTGGAATTTTAAAGTTTGATTTATGTTAACATGTTTTAACTGCCAAGATAATAAAATGTCATTTCTAGTCTTTACTTTCTTATGCAGATGAAGATCCAGGGATTGGCTTCCTTGATAGAAGAGTGGAGAAAAAGCACAGAAAACACCAAAGAAATAAGAACAAGGACAGAGACAGGGTTTTATCAGATGAAGAACAGAAGCAGATGATTATGAAAAAAGGTAAAAGCAGGTTTGAAATAGATGATTATTTAAAGTTGCATGTTTTACGTTTCGAAGTGACATAAAGTGGATATGTATTAAAATGTTGAAAAATTATTTACAATAGTTAAAATAAGCTAATAGGTTCAGATGTGCTTACAGTTTTGATGAATTTATTTGTGCATGTTTATATATGCTGCTATGTTTGTTGCTTGGCTTGCAAGCTGCGTATACCTGTGGATATGGGTATGCAGGTAGGATGTCTGGATGGGGCTATTGTCCTGTTGTGTGGTGTCCTCTTGGGTGCACTCGTCCTTTAATGTTGTAGTTGTGACTTCACATGAAAATACTTGGGAGTATATACTTGAAACTGAAAATACCTTACCTTTCTATATATATATGAGACTGTGAAGTACTATTGAATTTATGGCTCTTAGTAATCTCTTGAAATAGATTTTTTCATACCTTGTTCGACACTGGTCTTTCAAATTAGATTTAGATTCCCCCCCTCCATCACAGTTTCTAGAAGGATGTACTTTAGAGCACTATCCTTTACCCTTATCAACCAAATATTACCACTGTTTGTACTATAGATAAAGTAAGAACTCTTGTTGTGTGATACTCTTTTGCATTAAGGCATTTTGCTTAAAAATACATTGTAAACTCATGTGAAAAAAGATTGTGAAAAGATGGGACAAAACTGGTGGCTAAATTTAACTCAATAAAATGGCGTTTCTCACAATATTATTCAAGTAATAGACTATATCAAAACATCAATTTACATGTGAACTGAAATTGGAAAAAACTATTAAGAACTTTATTTGGAGATAATCAGTATAATTGGGCATTATAATTGATTGTATTACAGCCATGATGGAAAAGTGTCCACTGTCAGAATGGGAAGACTGGTCAAAATGCAGCGTCACGTGTGGCATTGGCATGCGTGTGCGCTTCCGCAAATATCTCAAGGACGTGACTCCGGCTGAATGTCAGGATGAATTGATGGACAAGGAAGAGTGCTTGGGCTTTGAGAACATCTGTAATAAAAATGACAAGTGTGCTACCACGAATTGGTCCCAGTGGTCCCCCTGTAGTGTCACCTGTGGTAAGGGGGTCAGGGAGAGAACACGCATGTATCTCAAGCCAGAGATGGTGCGGAGATGTTCCAAGGACATGACAGAGAGTGAGATGTGTATGACTGAGATAATGGACTGTAGGAAAGCTGAGGCCATGCTGGATTATGCAGGTAGATAGAAAGGTTTTGAATGAAATGCTTGGATTGAAATTATTGACTTCAGTTCTAATTCAGGCGTCCAGTAATTAAGGCTTTCTCCATCTAGAATTTAAAATTTTCATAATCTTCTTGCAAATGAAATCATTGTGTCATTGCCCCATCATCTTGAATATTTGTTGAAAATCATACTTAAAGTTGACGCAAGTTGTAATGTTTACTTACATAACCTTTTGTTTAACTTTTAACCATAGTATATGTAACAGTCTAGATCTTTTCCATTCTGCATTGGAAAAAAGAACTTAAAAGATTGTATAATTTTCTCCAATTCACACAGACATTTGTCAAAAGCCCTACGAAGCAGGCAGATGCAAAGGGAGTTTTAGGAGATGGTACTTTGATAAGGACATGCAGAAGTGTCTACCTTTTGTCTATGGGGGTTGCCGTGGAAACAAAAATAATTTTGAGACAGAGGCTGAATGCAACCAGAAATGTTCGACAGTGATGCAAGCAAATGGTAATGAAACAGTTGAATGTTTCCTGTTAGCTATATTTTGAATATATTGCAGCTTATTTAGCAAAATTTCAGATGATAAATCCTTTTTATGATAGATATATGAACTGTCTTAAATCTTTCTCAGAATATTGGATTTTTATGTACAGACACAGATGTGTCTGTACATATAGCCGTCACCTGCGTCTGTCGTCGCCGTTGCCGTTGCCGTTGGCGTGCACTTTTACCGTAAACACGATAAGTGGAAAACGGTTTTACATTTTGACTTGAAACTTACAGAACTGATGAATATTCATAATATTCAGGTCAAGTTCGAAAATCAGCATGATCGGGCCATTTTTAGGGAAGTTATGCTGTTTTTTCACTTTTTTCAGCATATATGCAACACCGTAAACACGATAAGTGGAAAACCGTTTTACCTTTTG